CTCCTAAAGGTAAATGTTAAGTTTTTAAAGATTTACTCTTCCATTTAAAAATATAATTGAAGCCGAGTGTGGTGGCTCACTCCTGTAATCCCAGCACTTTAGGAGGCCAAGGCTGGCGGATTTTTTGAGTTCAGATGTTTGAGACCAGCCTGGGCAACATGGTGAAACCCTCTCTCTACAAACAAAACAAAGCAAAACAAAAATTAGCCCAGTGTGGTTGTGTATGCCTATAGTTGCAGCTACTTGGGAGGCTGAGGTGGGAGGACTGCTTGAGCCTGGGAGGTTGCAGTGGAGCCACAATTGTACCACTGCACTCCAGGAGTTTGAGAACAGTCTGGATAATATAGTGAGATTCCCGTCTCTGTTAAAAAAAAAAATAGTAGCACATTAAGCACACTTTTTCTCATCTTGCTGTTTTCACTGAACATGTCCTGAAAGTTACTCCATAGTATCACCTATAGTATCATCAAGTGACCTTTTTCATTTTTGAAAACAGTAATATATATTATTCAGTTGTGTACATGTACTATATTCACTCAACCTCCTATTATGGATATTTGGATTGTTTCTACAAAGAATAGTGCACTGAAAAATGTAAAAGTGGAACTTCTGGGTCAAAGATTAAATACATATATAATTTTGGTAGGTATTGCTAAGTTTCCCTCCTTGAAATTATGGCATTTTGCTTATCCACCAGCAATGTATATAAATGCTTATTATCCCACAGCACTGCCTACAGAGTATGTTGAGTTTTTGCCAATATAATGGAGGGATTGTTATTGCTAGGTCAGTGCAGTTTTGATTTGGATTTCTATTATTATTAATTATGAATTAGTTTGAATATATTTTTGTAAGTGCCATTCGCATTCATTTTTGTGTGAACTGTTTGCTCATATCTCTTGACAATGTTTTCTATTGGGTTCTATAAGCCTGTAACACACTGTTTTTTTTTTTTTTTTTCAAACTATTTATTAGGGCTATTAACCCACTGGGACATAAATTACAAATATTTTTTCTGTTTGTCTTTTGTAGTTTTGTTTTCCTCACAGTGCTTTTTCTCATGTAAAAGTTTGCTTTTATGTTGTCAAATTATAACAATCTTTTCCCTAATTGCTTCCAAATTTTTGAAGCAACTAAAGCAATTTAGCTAGCAAAACTTTTTCTTCTCTTACAGAGAGATTCATCCATATTTATCTGTACAGTTTCTTTTAAAAAATATTTATATACTCGACTAATTTGGAATTTGTCCTTGTGTATAAGAAATTGATCCAATTTTATCTTTTTCCTTTTTAATCTCAAAATAATTTAATAAAAGAGTCCATCTTTTTTCTAGTGACCTGAAATACCACTTAAATCATATACTAACATGTTTCCTGTCACAAAAATAAAAATGAAGACTAGTAACCACCTATGATGAAGGCTGGCAAGAGAATTCTTGCACTGTGTGGGAGACTGAGCTAGTGGTCTATAACGATTGTTTTTTTTTTTTTTTTTTCCTTTTTGAAGAGACTGAATTCTGAAACTTATATCATCTAGATAATTTGCCCATGGGTGTAATTGGGTGTGGTGCTTACAATTTTTTCAAATGGTTTTACCCATTGTTTATTAGAGAGCTAGTGTCCTGAGACCGTTAATCTGAAACATTTGCTTTAATTACTGTGATCTGATAACAATGACGCAAATGTTTTTATGATGGGATGTTTCTCAGTTCTAAAATTAAATAAATGACTAAAGACTTTTTACTGCATGAATTTGCAGTTAATCTTATAATAAAACAAATGTTCATTACAATTCACCTCTTTTTCCAAAGAATTTTATTCTTTTCCCCCTTCCAACTTTCGTTTTACGTTCAAGGGATGCACATGCAGATTTGTTATATGGGTAAACTCTATGTCGAGGGACTTTGGTGTGGAGACAATTTTTGTCACCAGGGTAATCAGCATAATGATTGATAGGTAGTTTTTCAATCCTAACCCACCTCCTACCTCTACCCTCAAATAGGCCCCAGAGTCTATTGCCACATAATTTCTCTTAATAACGTTCCTCTTCTATATATAGTTTATCAAATGTTTTCAGTGGAAAATATTTAAAGTGTCAGATTGTGCAACAAATATTCACACTGACCGGATATGGAAAAGACCAGCAACATTCAGGAAATTGGCAGAGATTCTGAGCTCTGCGAGGGCAGGGCAAAAAAAGCAAGCGGGTGGAGCTATGAAGTGTGTATGGGAGTTGCTTTAATTTTACCCTTGTGCTAGGTTTTCTTCCACTATAAAATGATTACAATAGAATGTTTGTTTGCTTGTGCCTATTTCTAGTCACCTTTACCACTCCATTGGAATACTGTAATAAAAAGTAATGATGACAAGAGTTTACATAAAATGGATGTTCTAATCAAGAATGGCTTTCTGAGGGTTGGGGCGGGGGTCATGGGAGTGGGGAAAGGGACTCACTTTGTTGCCCAGGATGGAGTGCAGTGGCTATTCGCAGGTGTAATCATAACTTACTACTCTTCTGAACCCCTGGGCTCAAGTGATCCTCCTGCCTCAGCCCCTGAGTAGCTGCTGCTAAAGGTGTGCACCACCATGCCTGGCTAAGGATAGGTTTTTAGTACAAAACTGGTCAAGCCCTGACAGTCATAAACCTTCATGGTTGGGGATTTAGAAATTTTATTTATGGGAGTGACGGGACTTTGCTTTGGCTTTCAACCAAAGAGTTATTGTTAGTGGGGATCTTGGCATCTGTGCAGGATGGGACTTAGCATAAAGAATAGAAATTACCTTTCCAGGCTGGCAGTCCAGCTTTCAAAGCATTTTTTCTGTGCCTTTATTGCAGAACAGTTTCATATACCCTAGCGAATATCAGTTTATTTAAGGAGTGCAGAATTCTTTTTGCAGCACTTATAATACTTTCAAATGAAAGGAATCAAAATGGAACAGACAACCATCTCAAGAATAATAGTCAACTGCCAGGGAGACACGGGAACAGTGTGCTGGAATGTGGTGAGGGTAGACTGCATGATCTTTTGTCCCCCCACTGAATTCTCCAGAGAAATGTATGCTCTTTTGAAGTTACCTTCCGCACTGTATGTCTGTAAGAAATACAATGAAGGTCTGAATAATGAACTGGTAATCTTCCATAATGTGAAACTGACTTAAGAGAACATATCACAGAGGTACATACTGTTTCAAAGAGCAAGAACTGTTATCTGAAACTCCTTGCCTCATAAAGGCTTTCTGCAGAATGGAGATGGTCTTAAGCAAGTTTTACCATAAACAAAGGCTTAGTCTCCTATTTTAAAAAGTGACTACTTTTAGAAAGCTTACTCTCTCTTTTCTCTAGAAGGCTCTCAAAATATGCTGCTGCAAAAGCTGGTATATTGTCCGGTTGTTCTCTCAGAATCTCGCGTGTCAGCCCTTCAAGAAGATTCCCAAATCCTTGTGGAATTCGATAGTGGGTGTTGGAGAATGGAATCGACATCTTCTTGGTAAGAACTGCCTGTGGAACCTAAAGATTCATTAAAGAGTACTGTCTTTAAATTTGTCTGATTTTACTTATATAACCACAACTATGCCAAAGAATTATTTCTGAGACCCACATTTTTTGGACTTGAATTCCTTTTTTCCCCAACACAAACCAAGTCCATTCATTTCTTCCAAAGAGTTTTAATTCTGCATTATGAATTAGAATAATACAAATACAGACCCATTCACTAGGGCAAATCTTTTTTTAAACACTACAAAAAAAATCACAATTTCAATATGACTTTTTCTCTCTTTACCTTTGGTATTCTCAAAAGGTAAGGGTAAATTTTTACTATCACACAGAAATTTAGAGAGAATGATTGTTAAAAAGTTAAATTGAATTCATTATCAATTGCTGAGAATACCCTCTTTGAAGTATATATATATATACATATATATAATTAAAGAGTAGAAATTAGTCCTGGTTCTAGAAATCAATTTGTTGAATGAAGAAGTTGCACAGTCTTTCCCTTTGCTGCCACTTCTGAAGCATGACCCCATAATGCTTTGAACACCTTTGTACTGTGGAATGGGGTTGTGCGTGCCTAGGTGTGAGGGAGGGATGGGATGGGATGGGATGGGGGTGTGTCATGATTTTGAAATCCCAGCCTCTAAAGTTTTGGGATTCTTATATTTTCCGGTTTCTTCTTGACCAGACTATCTCTTCCTGTCTTGGAATACAAGGGCTAGATTAAGGGTAGCTGCTAAGCAGAGGGTTGAGCTACTGAGTATGAAAAGAATCCTCAGGGACTCGGCCTGTTAATGTGAGAGTGCGTGTCAGTGAGGAATAGAGACAGAGGCCATGGTAGGGGTCCAGGTTAGGGGAACTAGACGGTTTAATGAGGCTCAGTCTATGGAGGGTTCTCGTTTCATCGTTTTTTTTTTCTTTGAAACGGTGTCTCTGGCCTCGAACTCCTGGACTCCAGCGGTGTTCCCACCTCACCCTCCCGAGCAACTGGGATTACAAACGCGCGCGACCACGCCAAGCTCCTCTCTTTTGCTTTTTCTGAGAGCAGGAGATGGGGGTATTGAATCATTCTAGGGCGGTGAGGACTGGCGAGACCGTGAACCAGTGTAGTCAGAGGAGGGAGGGCGGAGGGGGCAGACCCGTCTAGTCGAGGGCAAGACGTTGAGGACCCGGGATTTCAGACTCGCGCCGAATGGGCTGCCTCTAGGTTGTGTCTGGGATGCTGAGAGAATACGAGAGACAAAGGGAAAAGGGGAAGTTTTGGTGTCGGAGAGCAAGTAGGGAAGCGGCCTCACCTCCTTTCTCTCCCAGCTGGTGCCACTGGTTCCGGTTGTTTTTCTCGTTGCTAGGTAACCGTTTTTTCTTTTAAAAAAAAAAAAAACTACGGCGGCCGGGAAGGGGCGAGCACGGCCCCGCCCTGCGGTCGCTGGAGGCTTGGAGGACTGCAGGGCCTGAAAAGGGTGGAGCCGACCTCGCCTCCGACAGGCCCCGCCCCTGCCAGGCCCCGCCCTCGCCCCGCCCCCACCAGGAGTACACCTTCCCAGTCCCGGGCGGCGGGCAGATCCTGGCAACTATGGTCACGCCGGGGCTTGTAGTCGGGCTGCTGCTGCCGTTAATCCTGTGGGCCGACAAAAGTGCAGGTGAGGCGGCCCGGCTCGGCCGGACCCCTGCCCCTCAGGCTGTGCGGGCTCCGAGACTCCGCGTCCCCTCCGGGACACGGACCAGTGCCCCTTTCTCAAAGGTCGCCGAAGGAACCTAGCTTGGCTAGGGACTCTCATCTCCGACCTAGGCCTGGTCTGCAGGGATCCGCTGGGTTGGACCCCGGCCTCTCCGATTGCTCCACTCCCACTCATCATCCCTAACATACGGCGCGTGAGCAAGGAGGAAGTGCCGTTTATCTCAGTGGGGAGGCCCAAATGTGCCCAGAAAGAGACCTTCGGGGTTCTGGAGTAACTGCAGAGGAGCTCAGGGAAGGGGGCGAAGCTAGTTAGATAATATTTGGAAACAGGTGACTGAATCATCCAAAACATTTCAGCGCTGCCCCCTCAGTGGTGCCCTTGGGGAGAGTTTGCTTCAGGCGGGGTTCCGTGGGGGAATTAAATTTTACTAGTTTAAGTGGTTATTAGGGCTAAGAAATACAGCCTCCTCACTAGCTCAGACTATTTAAGGCTCAGTTTTGATTTCTGGTGCAGCTTACAGATATTGGTGGTGGGATAATATGAGTGGCATAGAGGAGGAGGGTGACTCGATTTTGCTGTTGTGTAGGTTAAATCTTGCCATTCGAATACCCTAGGCTGGACACTGGGTCACAGTATGGAGGCAGCAGAAGATGGAATCTATCTGCTAATGCAAACTAAAGTGAAAATGTTGGTTTTCTTCCTTTCTTTTTCAAAACACTCAAAGAGTGGACCCTGGAGATGTTAAGAAATGAAAGTTGGGGCAGGAGAACAGCTTGCAGAAAAATGTCTGCTGCTCTACCTGAGAGCCAGAAAAGTACCTAGATTCAGACAAACTGCAGCCCATAAATGATTGTTCAGGGTTTAACAAACGTGCAAACTGCTAGCACTCTGATTTGCTGATTCTTATCTCCACTCAGTGACCTTTGAGATCTATCAAATGAGGTGGGGAGGTTTTTAGTTAAAAGCTATTTATTTTAGTGTCAGTATTTTATCTCCTCCTTTGGGTCTTACTGTTATATCACCTTCATTAATTACATTTTTCATTCATTAGTACTCTACTTGGTTGCATATCCTGACATCCTTCCTTTAAGGCATTCCTCCTGTGCCCATGTTTACCACGTAATACTGGAGGTGCACAAAATTATACGTAACAATGACACAATAAAATAAACACCCATGAGAGCAGCACCCAACTTAAGAACTAGAACATTGTCAGTCTATTCAGCCTGCCATTGTGCCCCTTGCCAATGCATCCACTGTTCCTCACCAGAGGTAACCACTGTCCTATTGTTATTCCACTTTTAATGATGGTCTCTTCCCCAAAATACTAATCCCTGTTTTTCTACTCCAGCCCTAAATGAAGGAAAAAACTGAAGACCTGAAAAATCCAAATGTTGGCTCATGCCTGTAATCTCAGCATTTTGGGAGGCTGAGGTGGGCGGATCACTTGAGGTCAGGAGTTCAAGACCAGCCTGGCCAACATGGCGAAACCTTGTCTCTACTAAAAATTAAAAAAGAAAAAAATTAGCCTGGTGTGGTGGCGGGTACCTGTAATCCCAGCTACTCAGGAGGCTGAGGCAGGAGAATCGCCGGAACCCAGGAGGTGGAAGTTGTGGTGAGCTGAGATTGGGCCACTGTACTCTAGTCTGGGCGACAGAGCAAGACTGTCTCAAACAAACAAACAAACAAAATCAAATGTTAAATGTATGTGTCTTGTGTTTGACACAAAGAATGATCAGCCTTGCTCTCTTTCTCATTCTCTCTCTTTTTGTTTTTTGTCCATTGCACAGTTCCATGATGTTCCACTGTCTACTCTAATGAGCTTAAAATTTAAGCTTTACAAGGACAAGAAATACGACTTTTCTTTGATTTGCCACAAGTATCTAATTTCAGTAAAGTGGGAATTTCAAGTTTGGAATCAAGTGACTTGTTTTCTAACTTTGTCATAAGCTACGTGATTTGAGACCAAAGGACATTAATGTTTGTGGTGAGTTTAGCACCATGCCTGCCACAGGTAAAGTCTCCAGTAGAATGGAAGCTCCCTGTGGGCAAGGATTTTTGTCTGTTACTATTATTATTTTTTCATTGTTATATCCCCAATGCTTAAAATAGTAGGCATCAATAAATATTTGTTAAATTAACTGATGAACATGCAAGCTATTAAAAAAATCTGCTTTGGTCTCAGTTTCTTGATCAGTAATGTGATAATACTACTTGATTAGAAAGTAACATGTTTATACCACAACTATGAAGATCCTTTCCACCTCTAAAACTCTTTAGCCCCCACAGAGTCATCCACAAAGATGTTCACTAAGTGTATGTTGGTGAAAATGGACTGACTTGGAAAGGTATTTCCCGTAGCCTATGGGCTACTGACTGCATGCAAATGTGCAAGCTGCAACCGGTTTTCTTCACTCCATTCCCCTACCCCCACCCGCACTCTGCTTAGCTCTTATTTATGTCTGTGGTTTTCCTTTTTTTGGTTCCATATGAAGCACCTACCCAAGACAAGGCCCTCCCACACATGTGCCTCCCCCTTCCCCCCAGCAGGCTGCCAACCTGCTTATGCAATTCTGGGGCGTTGTATTCTTTTCTTAGAGCATTTTGCTCATGGTAACTGTGCAGCTCCAGCCCAGTAGGCCTTCTGGGTGATCTTTCATTGTCATGTAGGTTTTATGATCACACTAGCTCATAAGAGAGAGCTGAGAATTTTTAGGGACTGGGCTGTTATTCCAAGAGCAGGATAAATAGGCCACAGAGCTGTGTAGGCGACTGCATTAGCTGTGCTGTCCTGTTAAGTATAGCCAAAGGGGCCCTCATCATTTGTAGCTTCCAGGGAGGAAAATGTCAGCCTTGTTAATTCTGATTCTCTTTTCTGCCTATCATTTTTTTTTGTTTAAAATGCTTAAAAACATCTTAATTTTGTTAAATAATTTTCTTTTAGGTAGTTTGGGGTCTGTTTAGACAAATTGGGATGTAACTTGTTTTTTTCCTTGTTAAGTTTTGATGAGTAACGCGCTGAGATAATTTGGATGGATGTTTGTTATTAATAAAATACTTCTATATAGGCTGGATGTTAAAAATAGGAGTGATCTCGTTAAAGTGAGTTCTTATTCAGTCTTGTTAGTGACTCTTTAGAATAGAATCCAGTTTCTAGTGTGCTTTCTCTTGTCTTTTTTGTATAATTTAGGTTGTGGAATGGGTAAAATTGTGACAGAAGACCTTTGTTCAGACACATTGACCTTCTGTCTCTCACTGACCTTATTTTTGTGTCTTGATTTATCTGAATTTACCTGAGAAGGAAGCTGACTTATCATGAATATTTATAAAGGCTTATTTAGAATTTTCGGTGCAGTATAGTGGGTTGTCAGAAAACCGTGATAAGGGGCACTATTTGAAGGAAATTGGCATTAGTGGCATGGAAAGGGAGAGAGAGAGGAGGGGAAAAAGATTAGGGAAGGCTGTCTGGAGAGAGGCATGCTGCTTTACTCCCAGCCATTAGGAGTGGGTGTGGTAATGGAAAATAGGGAAAGGAAGCAGTTTATTTTTCTCATAAACACCATCTGTAGGGTGCATGAAAGGAACATTTTAGTGGTTTAGGGGGAGAGAGCCCAATGTTAGGGCCAAGCCTGAGAACAAAGAAAGATCAAGAGCTCTGAAAGGGAAAGAAGACTGTTACATTGGTTGCCTTGAGCTCTGGGAGTTTTCCTTAAGTGGTCATTGTGTACTGTGATGCATACTGCTGGAAAGTGTTCTTGTTATGTTGCTTGCCTAATTAGGAGGAAGAAGATCTAGTTTTAGATGATCAAAAGGACTTAGCATGTTAAAATTCTCTTGCATAAAGACCGTATGTTCTTTGATGTTTCACTCGATCTAGTTGGTGCTGAATCAGATGATGCTCCCCTCAGTGTTTGCTAAATTTTTTAGGTATTGGTTTTCGCTTTGCTTCATACATCAGTAATAACGTGGTGCTGCAGAAGGAGCCTGCTGGGGCAGTGATATGGGGCTTCGGTACTCCTGGAGCCACAGTGACCGTGACCCTGTGCCAAGGTCAGGAAACCATCATGAAGAAAGTGACCAGTGTGAAAGGTAAGGCAGCCCATTTCTCTTCAGCTATTGCCTTCTTCTGCCACCTGCTGGATTATCTGAAAATGAATGCTAATGCTCCAGCTCATCTTATCCATCCCTCCGTCTGTACGTCTGTCTGTCCATTTATCCGTAAAAGTTATTTGAATGTTTGCCATGTGCTAGACACGGAGGATACAAAGAAAAATAAGACGGATTCAAAGTTCCTGTTCTCAAGAAACTTATTGAATAATGGAAATAGATACCAAGTTATATAGGGCAGTATGATGAATACGATGATGAAGGTGCATGTGGGATGTCCTGGGGTACAGAGGAGAAACGTTGAACTCAGACTGGGTGGTCAGGGAAGGTTTCCACAGAAGGTGATATTTGAGCTGAATTGTATATAAAGGAAGAGACAGTGTGGAGGAAAGGGTAAGAACCTAGGCTCTGGAAGTGACTACATTCAGGTCCTGATTCTGTCATTTATATGGCTGCGTAATCTTGGACTGTAATATAACATCTCCATGTCACAGTTTATATGTAAAGTGGCTATCCTCATAATACCTACAGGATTGCTGTGAGAATTAAATGAACTAACAGGTTTAAGTACTTGTAACAGTGCCTGGCACACAAGTGCAGAGTAAGTTTTAGCAGTCATGATTGTTACCCCTACTATTATTAGTCATTCAAATATCTATTGAGAGCCTACTATGTGTTCCTTACTGTGCTAGGTACTGGTGATACAGTGATGAGTAAAACAGATGTGGCCTCTCCCTTGATGAGGTGTGCAGGTTGGACAGGAAGACAATAAGCAGTTACAGTTAGGTGTGATAAGTGCCATAGTGAGGAAGAACAGGGTGCGATGGGAGTGCTTCGTAGAGAGTAGGGAGAATTACGTAGTCTGAGGCTCATCTCAAGAGGTGAGCAGGGCACACCAGCTAGTGAGAATAGCCTGGCAAAGGTGTGGAGGCCTGACAATACCTGGGTCACGAGAGAGATGCCAGGCAGGTTGGTTGCTCTGGAACACGGTGGGTGTGTGACTTTGGGCAGATGAGAAGAGATAGGTTGGAAAGGCTCATTTGTCATTGTTCAGGAGTGTATGTTTTATTCTAAACTGACAGATTTTTAAATGGCAAAATAATATGATCAGATATCTTAGAACACTTACTCTGGCAACCTGTGGAAGATGGATTGGAGATCAGTAAGACAGAGGTGGTGGGCCCTGTGGGCAGGCTGCTATGATATCCAAGCAGGAGATGATGAGGGCTTGACCTCATAGAGTGGCTGTGAGGATGTTCAGGAAGGTGAGAATTAGCAGTTTTCATGAGCAGGGAGATCTTACAAAGGAGTAAGTCTTTGTCTAGAAGAGATGAAGATGTAGAAGACAGTGTGGAGGAGGCGAAGCTAGAAGTTACGGGATGCAGGAAGGCATGCTCAGGGCTGGATGTTACAGAGAGCTCTACAATTGTGTGAAGTGGAAGTGAGAATGAGACAGATGAGGAGGCTGCTCAGAGGTGGAGGTGGAGTTCAGGTACACATTGGTGGTTTGAGCAATGGCAAGCATATATATATGTGACAGGGCTGCCTGTGGGAATTGTACTGGCCCCCGAAAGCAAGGATTGCCTGGTTAGTTTTATCAATATATAGAACTGATGATCCAGTCCAGAGTGATCCATACCCTGATGCAATCTCTTCAAAATTCATTTCCATTCAGCAAACATTTAAAAATACTACATGCCAGGCGTAGAAGTAAGGTAAGTGCTTCTAATTCTTGGGTTTTAAGACTTTTTAAGATAAGAATGTTGTTGGGTAAACTAAGAGACCTGAAAGTGAAGCTTCAGCGGATGAGACGTGCTTCTCTGTTGAACTAAATGCTGTTGGTGACTTGCAGGATATCCTGAAAGTGAAGGATTCAAGGGACTCTCGGTGCTTTCTGTTTGTGCTGGGCCACCTTGGAAATGGAGCATTGTGTACAAATAATGGCACTCTCAGTAAATGATGCTCACTTAGAAATCCAAAGAACTGCTGTGATCTAAAAATAAGAAATGGGATTTACATGGTACTAACAATTAAGTTACCAATAAATATTTAGGCGACAGAGACAACATAGTGCTGTAGAGATACATACAGAAAGCACACAGTATTACATAGGGTTTCAGTTTAAAAAGTCCTTGTACATCATTTTTTGAGTTTTTTCTCCCTTCATGCCTGTTTCAGACCTAATATTTGAGGTGGGCAGAGATGAAGCAGGAGGCTAGGTGGAATGAAAGGTAGTAAGTAGGAGAGGAGCCTCCCTTTTCCTTTACCGTGATTGTGAAGCTGGTCATTTGCCTTGAGTTCAATTTGATAAACACCGAGCGAGGGCTTACTATGCCTAAAACACTGAGCCAGAAACCCTAGGAAAGTATAAAGAAGAATACCTGTCTTTCAAATGTGCCCATCTTTCAAGAACTCACTCCCCCATTCCATCCTTTCACATTTAGTAATTTAGGCTCAGGTAACGCTCCAGCAACTTCACTGCAAAGGGATGTATTATTTGTAGTTAAAATAGCCAGCAGCAACTTAAGATAATTGAGTGATTCATGGGTACTGATAATTTCACAGGAAAAGGGGTTGATGTTATTGGTGGTGGTGGGAGGAACCTATTTATTAGACTTTCCTCATTTGCTTGGTAGAAAAGGGCAAGGTATTTGAGTTTAGAGAGATCTGTAAACCTGCTTCAGTGGGTATCCTACTTTGTTCTGCCCATGAAGCAAAACAGATGAAGTGTTAATTGGAATAAAGGAAGTAGACATGTAAGAAATTTCATAGGCAGAAAATATCTCTCAAAAGAGATACCACAGAGAATACTGGAGGGTGCATTTTTGGTTTAGATTTTAATGAGGACTCTGAGATTTTCAGCCACATTACCTCAATTTGCAGCTTTTTCTCCCTCTGGTAATATTTAACTTATTACCCACCGTCCCCTAGGTACCCAGAACAAAGTAAGATATTACAGTATAAAGGTTTTTGTCTAGCAGACTGACACTTAGACATTGGGAAAATTAACACCTGGGGCATGACTGGGACCATGGTCAGGTACTGGGTTGGTTCACACGATGTTGTCAAATGATGCAAGATGATTCTTTCAGACACAAGGAATCCAATCAGGGAAAATAGGGCATATCCTCTCACTTTGACATAGGTGATAAAATGATGGTGTGTCTGTTTATATTTATCGTCATGATTGAGGTAAATAGATATATTTTCTCTAACTTAAAATAATGCAAAAGCCTAAAGCCCTCCCCGCCCCTGGTTGTCATGCATACCAATTTTCTTTCTTTTCCTTTTTTTTTTTTTTTTTAAAGATAAAGTCTTGCTCTGTCACCCAGGCTGGAGTGCAGAGGTGTGATCTCGGCTCACTGCAACCTCCAGCTCCCAGGTTCAAGTGATCCTCGTGCCTCAGCCTCCTGAGTAGCTGGGGTTACAGGCACCTGCCACCATGCCTGGATAATTTGCATACTAGTTTTCTATGCTACATAATAAATTGCCACAAACTTAGGTGCTTAAAACAACATGCTTTTACACTCTCACAATTTCTGCAGGTCTGAAGTCTGGTCACGGTTTAGCCGGATTCTCTATTCAGGGTCTCACAGGGCTGAAATCAAGGTGTAGGCCAGGCTGTGTTCCCATCTGGAGGAGTGAGTAGCGAGTTACCTGCTTCTAAGCTCCCTTGTGTTGCTGACAGAATTCAGTTAGGTGTTGAGTTCATGGTAGCACCTCTGCTGTTTCAGATCTCTGACCTCTAGATCCTCTTTGAAAGAGCTCACCTGATGATGTATGCCAACCCAGGAAAATCTCGATTTTTGTTAAAGTCAAATGACTAGGGACTTTAATCACATCTGCAAAATCCCTTCACCTTTTCCATAGAACAGTATCTAATCACAAGAGTGACATCTCATTCCCTTTGCCATTTTCTGTTGATTAGAAGCCAGTCACAGATTCTGCCAGCCACACAATTGTGTGACTTTGGAGTGTCACCTTAGGATGTGTCTGCCACCACAGGCTATAGTGTAAGTAACTCGTATGAGCAATTTTATTGATACAAAAGCATTTAAACCTTTTCCCTTTGCATTCATATTTTGTGGTAGAGATGAACTTCAGGTTACAACAGAATAAATGTAGACTGGTGAGGGGCAGTGGAGGCAGTAAGGCCTTCTTGACTTCCAAGCCAGTTCTGCAAAACACTGAGCCACTTTGCAGCTAGTGAGGAACTAGGTTGTGTTGGGTGGTTTGGTTGGGGGTGGGGAGTGAATAGTCTCCTTTTTTCATTTCTAGGTTATTCTTCTCAGCAAGGGAAAGGTCATGGATAATTTTCCTTTTTCTCTTCTTAGCATCTGAGATTTTGGCACAATAATAGAACGATATAATTAACATCTGATATGAATGGTAAAAAGAAAAAACAAGATAGCACTTTTTGACTATGTCTCTAGACAAATTATTTTCATTGTTTCTTTTGTTTGCTTGTTCTTCCCATTTGGAGGTGGGAGTTAATTGGGAGGTGGAGAGAAGGTAGAGACAGAGAGTTCTTAACTGCCCTTGGCTGGAATATGAGAAGAAGAGCAACAATAAGAAATAGGCCACCAGAGGCCAGGCATGTGGTTCACGCCTGTAATCCCAGCACTTTGGGAGACTGAGGCCAGCAGATTGACTGAGCTCAGGAGCTTGCAACCAGCTTGGTCAACACGGTGAAACCCTGTCTCTACTAAAAATACAAAAATTTTTTGGACATGGTGGTGTGCTCCTATAATCCCAGCTACTTGAGAGGCTGAGACAGGAGAATTGCTTGAACTTGGGAGGTGGAGGTTGCAGTGAGTCAAGATCATACCACTGCACTCCAGCCTGGGAAACAGAGCAAGACTCTGTCTCAAAAAAAAAAAAAAAAAAAAAAAAAAAAGAAAAGAAAAAGAAAGAAAGAAATAGGCTACCAGAAATGCTAACCTTTAGATATGAAAACATAAAGCCCTAGTCAATTTGCATGGCTGTCTTTTCAATGTAACCCAGGGATGGGGTTTACTTCCTACTATTTACTTGATGGAGTGCCTGGCACACTAAGCACTCTAAGTAGCTGTGTAATGAAAAAAGGAAATTAATCTTCCTAGGTGGTACAAGAAAAATTGCAAGGAAGCAGAGATTTGAATGCACTGAAAATGAAAATTTACAGAAACCTGGGCCTGGCTTGGAATAGCTGATAGCAAGTGATTAGGGCCCAGAAGAAGGATGCAGAGCCACTTGTTCAGAAAGCTGATCTGGATCAGCAGAAAGCCAGCTGGATAGCGAACTCTTTGTGGTTAGTTGGTCATTTATTATTTGGACTCAAGCTTATGGACTTCATGGGTCTGTACCGTTTCTAATACCTCTTAAATGAACTTCATTTGCCTGTGGTGAGCTCCATTTCAACCAACCAGTCCTGAACTGATAAGAAACATGGTGGGTTTTCCCTTTTTAATCTCACCCTTGCTTTTGGTCTAAGAAACAGTCTTCACAGTTGCTGCTGTTCTTTGTATGTACCTACATAGAAGTAAATCCTTATTGTTTTAAATGAACTGTCTCTGAATTGGTTTAACCATTAGTAACCTCTGGAGTGCATCGCATCAAGTTTTCCCTGCTTTCTCTGGAAGTTAACTGTTCTTAACACTTGTTATTGTCAGAGTTTACTTTTTCTTTTCTTTCTTTCTTTCTTTTTTTTTTTTTTGAGCTGGAATTTTGCTCTTGTTGCCCAGGCTGGACTGTAATGGTGTGATCTCAGCTCACTGCAACCTCTGCCTCCTGGGTTCAAGTGATTCTCCTGCCTCAGCCTCCCAAGTAGCTGGGATTACAGGTGCCCACCACCATGCCCAGCTAATTTTTGTATTTTTAGTAGAGATGGGGTTTCACCATGTTGTCCAGGCTAGTCTGAAACTCTTGACCTCAGGTGATATACCCGCCTTGGCCTCCCAAAGTGCTGGGATTACAGGCATGAGCCACAACGCCTGGCCAGAGGTTACTTTTCTTTTATCAAGTAGGGAAGGAAAAAAAAGTTCGAAAGTAACATCTTGAGGACTAGCACAGAAGAAAGTTTTCCAAGGTCTTTGAGGAAGTTGGAAGGAGGTTTCTCTGGGAGGGCAATCTTGGGAATAAGGCTCAGCTCTTGATGCCTAGTTTTTTGACTCCTTAGGCCCTAGAGGGAGTGCATCCAATGGCTGTAGTAGGATGGTATTGCCATGTTTTGCCCAAATAGTTTGAGCATTGTCTTTTTATTACTGGGTAGCAAAATTTTTCAGAACCTCTGGTGAAGGTAGTTTTCTTCACCAGCTATGTTGCTGGATTGAGGCTAAGGGTAAATACCTAATTAATAGCAGTGAATAGGAATAAATAGTATAGCCATAGAAGGCTAAGAAATAGTCCTTGGTTTTCTGGGGGTTGACCTCACCATCATAAGTGAGTAACGTTGGTGGCAGAAGGACAGAGCTCCAGTAAGATGTGTCAGTGCAGGAAGCCTGGAAAGACCTTGGCAAGCCTGGAGTTGGGACAGATTGGAGTGTCTGCCTGCTCAGAAGTGTGAGCCATATGGAACACATCACACCTGTGCGACACAATCTGTCCTAGCTGCCCACTGTTTCCAAAACAGTGATTTTTCTGGTTTAGGTGAATTATACATTTAATATGTTGACTTGTAGCTATTGATGGTATAAAAACAATACCGAACATTTGGTCCAGGGTTTAATTAACCTCTTAGGCATGGGAGTAGCAAGCTTAATTGCTTATGCTTTTTTTTTTTTTTTTTGTAAGACGGAGTTTCGCTCTTGTTACCCAGGCTGGAGTGCAATGGCGCGATCTCGGCTTACCGCAACCTCCGCCTCCTGGGTTCAGGCAATTCTCCTGCCTCAGCCTCCTGAGTAGCTGGGATTACAGGCACGAGCCACCATGCCCAGCTAATTTTTTGTAATTTTAGTAGAGACGGGGTTTCACCATGTTGACCAGGATGGTCTCGATCTCTTGACCTTGTGATCCACCCGCCTCGGCCACCCAAAGTGCTGGGATTACAGGCGTGAGCCACCGTGCCTGGCCTGCTTATGCTTTTAAGAGGAGCAAACATGCACCCTTTCCCTGATGACTTGGGGCTTTTGGACATTTTCCCCAGAACTCTGAGCAATATTTTATGAATTGAGTTTTTGCTAGTCACCTGTTGTACATCGGGACATCTGATGCTTCTGCTTAGCTCTTGCTGATTAGAAAGAACTTTGCAGTGTCTAGCATATAGGAGGCACTTGGATGGTATATTTAGAATTTATTGTTTCTCATATTGGATGTAATAATTTTAGGATGCTTCATTTCCAGTTCTTATCATTCTTTCCCTTTGAATTTACATTGATCTGATGGGTACAAATTATAAATCAGTTCATATTCTTTGGCATAATGCCAAGGATATTTATTTTAAAATGTTAATATCTCATTTTTTTTCTATTTTCCCACTCTTGTTTCATCAACTTTGTTCATGTTGCTTGGTTCTCCTTGGCATAATTTTTGCCATTTTGAAGATATTTTCCTGAAGCTTCTAAGTTTGTTGATGGCAGAGGTGGTCTGGTGAGTGATGAGAGGGAGCAGGGTGGTAGGGGTGGTTCTAGGGAATATGCTTTGAATTCCTGAAATTGGGTCTTGGATAGCTTCTCATCTCCCTAATTGAGTCCCAAAGACTTGAGTCTTGTAGACAACTCTGTAAAAATAATTAATTGGGCATATTGGAATATCTTTTTCACAGAGAGATTAAATTATATGCTTCCCACTACTTTTTGGTGTGTCAGTTTCTCCACTCAACAGTTTGCTGTTAGGAGAACCCGGACCACTGGTAGTGTTAATCCTTGTTAGCAACGCAGGAGGAGGTGGGATACTGTCAAGCCAGGGGAAGTTCCAGATTATCAGCGATTTCCTCTACCCTGTGGTCACATATGATTGAGTAATTGCAAGTTAGTTTGGGACATTATGCTAATCTAAAAGATGAAATTATGTTAATTTTGACAGCTGGATAGTATAATAAAAATTTCTTTTTTATGTTTTCTATTAAACTCTTGAATTTTAATCTGTGCGTATTTTTGTCTATCCTCATTTAGGATTATAACTGGGTAACTTACTTTTTTTGTAAATGCTTCAAAAGTTAAAAGTAAAGAGGGATTGGTACAGATTAAGGATAAAAATGTTGCTGCTCTTGTTAGTTTTATCCTCTTGTCTGAAATTTGGCCAATCTTCATAGCTTTGAATTCAGTTTATTACAGAGGCTGGGAATAGCCACAAATGAGTATAATTGGGCTTTAATTTCATTTAATTGACTAATTCCTTGGAGTCCTGTTACTATTTTAGCTCACTCTAATACCTGGATGGTGGTACTGGATCCTATGAAGCCTGGAGGACCTTTTGAAGTGATGGCACAACAGACTTTGGAGAAAATAAACTTCACCATGAGAGTTCATGATGTCCTGTTTGGAGATGTCTGGCTCTGTAGTGGGCAGAGTAACATGCAGATGACTGTTTTACAGGTAATTTGCAGAGTCTCAGCAATAATACATAGTGTTGATGATGAAGGAAAAGAAGGAAGAATAAAGGGGCAACGAGGAGAAGCAGAGCTGTTTCTATTTACTGAATACCATGAGCCGAGATCTGTTCTAAGTGCTTTGAATGAATTCATTAATTTGACTTAACAATCTTAAGAGATAAGTTATTGATTAAATTGGTAGTTATTGACTGGTGCTAATATATTCTACATAGGTTAAGAACTTAGAAGGTTAGGAACCTAGAAGGAGTATTGTTTTCTCTAGCACTTTTTTAAAAACTGAGAGTTTCTTCTCAAGTTGATTTTTATTTTCTTGCCCTTTTTTTTTTTTTTTTTTTTTTTTTTTGGAGATGGAGTTTCTCTCTTGTTTCCCAGGCTGGAGTTCAATGGCACAATCTCAGCTCACTGCAACCTCCGCCTCCTTGTTTTAAGTAATTCTCCTGTCTCAGCCTCCCGAGTAGCTGGGATTACAAACATGTGCCGCCATACCTGGCTAATTTTTGTATTTTTAGTAGAGACGGGGTTTTGCTATGTTGGTCAGGCTGGTCTCGAATTCTTGACCTCAGGTGATCCACCTGCCTCGGCCTCCCAAAGTGCTGGGATTACAGGTGTGAGCCACCATGCCCAGCTAATTTTTTATTTTTTATAGAGATAGGGTCTTGCTGTGTTGCCCAAGCTGGGCTTTTTGAATTGAAATGTTTATTAAACAGAACTTTGACTGGACTATCTTTTAGCATAAGAGAGTGGAGGCAAAATTGAAATTTATTTCTTGATAGGAAAGATAGTTTTGTACAGAGCAGAATTGCTGTTAACTCATTAAGGGAAAGAGTACTTTTCTTTAATGCTGTAATTGCAGTTCCCTGTTTGCACAGAAAGGCGTGGACCAGATATGTTTGTATCTAGTCACTTTCTCAACAGCAGTCTATGCCAGGGGATCCCATCCCATTTTCTGTCAAGTTAAATCACATTTTGATTGTTAAGAGTAAACATATTTTTCCTGCCTAGAATTTACCCCTAAGCATCTTCTGTATAAAGCTAGGGCTCCAAGCTCTGAGATATAGGGGAAATAGGAAAAAAATTCCATCTGAAACATCCAAGTGTTAATTTTTATTTTTTATTTTTGTTTAAATCATACACTTAGTTTGCAAGATAACATTTTAGGTGCTGACAGTACCAAAAGCCAAGTTTTCTAGTCTCTTAACAGCCTATGCAACCTTATATTTTGACTAAAAGGATGTTCTACATGGCTTCCCCTTTATTCCTTTTGCTCCTTTCCTCCTACAAACCCCAACACACACACATCTCTCTCTCTCTCTCACTCTCTCTCTCTCTCTCTCTCTTTCTCTCTAACACACACACACCCACCCACCCACACACACACACACACACACACACACACACACACACACACATCTTTCTCCTTCCCTCCTTCCATGTGACTTTTCTGAGGAGGTAAGATTTCCACTATAACCTACCACTCTTCACATTCAAATCAAGGAAATGGCAGATTGCGTGCCCATCTTGTTGTTAGGGTAAAGTGGAATTTTAAAATTGAGTGTTATTTATAACACTGAGTGAGATGTTTATAAATGGAGAAAAGTCTAAATGTTCATCTGTCGCCTCCTAAGTCAGGGTAGGTCTTAAGACTTGAATATTTCTAGTTATGCTCAGAAAAAGATGGCCAATATCCATCAGGAAACCCATTTTCCAATACCTCAGAACTCCCCACATTCCTTCTTTACAAATAGAGAAATTAAGATCCAGAAGAGAAGGGCTGATACCACATTCCAACAGAAGATTCACAGGACTTATGAGGGTGGCTTTTTTTTATAGTTTCCTCCTCAGTTTTAGAAGTGTGCCATAGTAGAAGGTAAAATAACGTACAGAATTTCCAAATTCTTTTAAGTAAATTTTCTGTCCTTCAGTGTGTGTGTATGCACACACAGACTCACACACATGCTTTGCTTCCCCATGCAGACCCCATGCCAAGATCCTCTGAGGAAATAGATTCTTGACGTGTCTTCATTAATTCAAGAATGTGGTATAAAGGTTACAAAACGAACACCAGTGAGCAGCTGCTTTGATGGTGAACGGTCCAGTCCCTAGAGAGGCAGCGGTTCTCTCTCCCAGCCTCTGAGGCGTTAATGACTTCAAATACCTTGGTATTCATTTACATCCTCATTTAAATACTTGGTAGAAAAATAATTACACTGAGGTGTTTGATGAGATGAAATCTGATCTCAGCAGATGGAGTAAGGCTTCCCCTTTCATCAGCAGGGAAACCAAGTGTCATTTAAATGAAAATCTTCCTGCAATCTCTTTATTCCTAAGTTTGCTGCCCATATCCCTGAGGAAATGCTTTCATCAAAAAGGCCTAGTTATTGGGAAAGGATACCAATTTCTGAAGTAATTGTCATTACGTTGTCAGGTACAGAAGGAATGGTCCCACCCCCCATTTTTGCTGACACTCTCTGTGGCTTTCAAGTCTTGGCTTGAAATTCCACGCAAATGTGTCTGAAAATGGAAGTTTTCCAGTTAATGTTTTGGATCCAGTTCCGTGTGCTGGTATCAATATAGGAGAATGCCAACCACTCTGACTCTATTGGCCTCACAGCACTCTACAGTGTTAGCAACGGGTCTAAAAGACACGTAGCATGTGCTCCCATACTGCCTCCCAAGCTGGCGTCTCACTGCGATGAGGCACTTGAGTTCCCAGTCAGTGCGGAAGCTAGTGTGGGTGGAGAGAATGAAAGCAGTTTCATCCACTGTTTCCATGGAAGCAACATACAATCCTGAGTGCTTAGTGCAGAGCTGAATTCCAAAGGAGGCGGCTTTTTACAGGTACTTGCTGCTGAAAAATAATTTCCCTGCCAGATACACTGTGAGTGCATTAGCCTGTTCTTACTCCTTCGTGTTTACTTTACATTCAACCTGCCAGGTATGGATTTCCTGTGGAATTTTCCTGAGACCGTATGTAATCTGTCTGGAAAATGGGAAGACCAGTAGCCCTGACACCCTAGAGCTGCCATTTCCAAGGGAGCATTTCAGGTTGTGGCTCCCACTGTGAGACAAAAGAGCCATCTCGTTTCCATCTGGTCATCTTACTGGGTGCTGCAGGCTCATTGGCAAGTCCAAAGCGATTCAAGGGGCAGCATCTTTCAGTGAAATGCACCATGGGGGCACCTGGCTGCTTGAGAGTTTCTCTTACGCTGTGGTTGGAGGGCCAGCTGTGTTCTCTGTGGTGGGTGGGGGCAGAAAGCAAGCCAGCTGCACACTCTGTGACCAGCAGCCAATGGAACGTATCCGGCCTCCTGTGCCTCCGGCGGCTGTGGCAGCCCCGACTCAGCTGGAGCGCCTGTTCCCTGAGGCAAGTGGTAACTGGGCTTCCTGATGCTACTGTTAGTCCTTTGTTTTGGGAGAAGCTGGGCCAGTCCAGGGGGATAGAAAGGACTCAAAAAGAAACACACAAATTAAAAAGCAGAATAAAATATTTCTGATATATTTGTTTTAAAATAAAATAACTAAAATGTCAGGATGAAAGGAAATAGCACTGATGCATAAGCTCATAGAGGAAGGATGCTTCACTGCACTAACAAAGAAGGTACTAGGTGTAGCACCCACATTCTTGTCCAGAAAAACTCTCAGTCACTCCTTTCATACTCCTGACAATTGATGAGGTGTAATAAAGTGATTTGGGAAAACATGATTTATCTCTGGATGGACCCTTTTCTTTGTTTAATTCCTTGGGACTGTTCTGAGCTGTTACCCTGAACACCATCTTTCCAATCTCCATGCCTCCCTTGCTTTTCTTTGGTGATTTACCAGGACCAAGATGAGGATACCGTCAGCCTTGAGTATCCACCAGTGCCACATGTGCAGACCCAGCCTCAATATTTTCAGATGGAAAATATTTGAAGAATAAAAATTAAAAGTGACAATGCAACAATAAATAATACACATTGAAAAAACAATACATACAGGTTGAGTATCCCTTATCTGAAGTTGCTTGAGATCAGAAGTGTTTCAGATTTCGGATTTTTTTTGGATTCTGTAATATTTGCATAGACATAATGAGATATCTTAGGGATGGGACCTGAGTCTAAATATGAAATTCATTTATGTTTCCTATATACCTTATGCACATAGCCTGAAGGTAATTTTGTATCATATTTTAAAATAACTTTGTGCATGAAACAAAATTTGTGTTAAGTATTTATGTGTGGAATTTTCCACTTGTTGACATCATGTTGGCACACAAAAAATTTTGGATTTTGGGGCATTTTGGATTTTGGATTTTCAGATTAGGGTTGCTCAACATATAACTATTAAATAGCATTTACATTGCATTAGGTATAAGTAATCTAGAGATGATTGAAAGTACAGGAGGATGTTTGTAGGCTATAAACAAATATGCCATTTTACATAAGGGACATGAATCCTCAGATTTTGGCATGCTGGGTTTTGGTGGGTGGACGGGGTGGGGGGGTTCTTGGAACCAACACCCTGTAGATCTGAAGGATAACTGAGACTTACTCCAGTATGTTTCAGTAGTTTAACAGTCATTTCTTAGGTGTTGAGCACGCTTCTCTTGTGTGGTATGGATTAGACAAATCTACCTTCCCATGGCCTTTTTGGTTCCACAGAATATCCTACTTTAAAAAGAAGTTAATTGGCATGGTTTTGTGTTATGAAATACTTTTTCAGAGTAGAAATAGTTTCAAGGTATCAGAGTGTGCGCAGTGTGGGGCAATATTCTTTAGCCTAAGCTACTTCACGGCTCCTCATGTCTAATATAGACCTGCTCCTTAAGATCACAGATTTCATTATATTTCTATCCTTTTTGGGAACATGATTCATCATGGTCTTTTTTGGTAAAAGTGGATCAAGGTGATTCAGTCTACCCATTGGTTTTGGCTATTAATTTGATCTCAGTGTATTGAAGGCTCAGGAGCTCAGAGGATTGATGTTTACTAAGAGATGTCAGGCTAGTTCACCACCCACCAGGTTAAATGATGTTTCAATTTCTTTTCCAGATATTAAATGCTACAAGGGAGTTGTCTAACACGGCTGCCTACCAGTCTGTCCGCATCTTCTCCGTCTCCCCCATTCAAGCAGAGCAGGAGCTGGAGGACCTTGTTGCCGTTGACTTGCAGTGGTCTAAGCCCACTGAAGGTATGACAGCTTGAACGTGCTGTCTCTTATATAATGGTTTAGTATCCTAAGTGGAATTTATAAGACTGAATTTGGTTCTTATCTGTCTGTTTATTGTTACTCATGTCTTTTATTCCTTTCTTATTGATTCTTCATCCTTCCTGATGGTGATTATTTCAGATTTCTTCCCAAGACTACCAACAAATCTTCCCTCTTGCTGTGGGAAATGACTCTTCCATCGACACCTGCAGTGAAAATATCGAGGCCCCTCGTCATGGTCTCTGCCAGCATCTCTCCCAGTGCCTTCACTCCAAATCCTCTTCTCTTTCTTCCCTTGTTTCTTTGTCTCTAGACAACTGACTGGTCTCTTTTCAGGGCTAACTCTGATTTGGGTTCTGCTTTCTCCAGAGCCTTCTTTAATCCCGTAGGCGGTGTGGTTTCCCCCTCAGTCCATGCAGCATTTCGTGACTGCTCTGTGTCAGGATCTGTGCCAGGCCCCAGGGACAAAACAGTGACCAAACAGATTCACGGTCCCTGCTCTCTGAGCTTAGCCTTTCTTTTATTCTCATGAAACAAAACAATAGTAAACATCACAAACACCCTTCTCAGACGCTTCATCTTTCTCCTTTGCTTTGTTAAACCTTTCTAGAACATCTCCTGTTTTCATGCTTTTCACTGCCTTTCCCTGTGTTCATTCTTCAGCCCTTTGTCACCTGGCTTCTGCTTCCACCTCAACAATTTGTTCACCCGGAAGTTCCTACTGTTCTTCTTTTTTTATTTTTATTTTTAAAAAGCCTACAGCACTTGGTAGTCCCAGGCAGTCTCCCATCCAAGTACTAACCAGGCCTGGCCCTGCTTAGCTTCCAAGATCAGATGAGACCGGGTGCGTTCAGGGTGATACGACCATAGACCCTACTGTTCTTCTAATGATAAACCTGGAGACCTCTGCCGCATTCGGCACTGTGGACCACCCCCTTTAGAAACCACATGTTCCTCCTCGCTTGCCTGGTGCCTTTCCTTTCCTAGTTCTCCTCCTCTGGCTTCTCTGTCCCTTTTTCTTGGCTTCTTCATTCCCTTCTTTCAGATGTGACCCCTGTGTTCTCCCTGGACTTTTTCTTTTTTTCCTATGCATGCTTTCCTTGGTGCTCAGATGCTCCAACATTTTCAAGTATTAATTCACTTAACAAATATTTGAGTGCCTGCTGTGTGCTCGGCACTATTCCAAGTGCTTGGTATATAGTAGTGAGTAAAACGGGCAAGAATGCCTGACCTCATGGAGCTTACAGTCTAGTGTGAGGAAATACTGAAAGTGATTCATAAAATTAGTAAATTATGGCAAAGTATCTGATGCTATCCAGTTTCATGCTATCTGAACTCTCCCTGTAAAAGAGCTCAGGAACTGAATGGATTCAGGTAAATTTTTGGGCGAATCCTTTGCTTTATGAATTCTTACTACATGGTATCCAAAACTCAGGACACAATCAAATTTGGATAATGCATTATGCCTTGCTATCTGAATTTGTTTTCACTTTGTGAAATCAGAAATGGAATGAATAAATGTGGATATCACAGGATAGGTTAATGGGTGATATGTACTAATGCGACAAAAATAAATAAATCAAATATATCAGGGAAGGGAGGCAATAGGGAGTGTTGATGCTGGGATGGAAGAGTGGTTTGCAATTTAGAGTAGCCAGGGAAGTCCCAACTGAGAAAGGTGACATTTCAGTAGCAGCCTGAAAGAGGAGAGGCAAGGCAGACATCTAGGAAGGGCACAGAGGATCCATCTCTCCCACACTGAGATTCTCTCTTGTCTCTTCTTCCTTTTTTTTTTTTTGAGACGGAATCTCACTCTGTCACCCAGGCTGGAGTGCAGTGGCATGATCTTGGTTCACTGCAACCTCCACCTCCCGGGTTCAATCACCTCCCGGGTGATTCTTCTGCCTCAGCCTCCCAAGTAGCTGGGATTATAGGTGCGTGCCATTGCACCCAGCTAATATTTGTATTTTTAGTAGAGACAGGGTTTCACCATGTTGGCCAGGATGGTCTTGAACTCCTGGCCTCAAGTGATCTGCCTGCCTAAGACTCCCAAAGTGCTGGGATTGTAGGCGTGAGCCACCGTGCCAGGCCTCCCACCTCTTCTGTCATCACATCACTGCTGCTGGGAAAGGTTTTCTGATTTTAAGGGCTGTTGTAATTAGATTGGATCCACCTGGATAATCCAGGACACTCTCCACATCTCAGGTTTTTAATCTTTATCACATCTACACAGTACCTTTAGCCATGTGAGATAACACATCCACAGGTTCCAGGGATGAGTGTGTGGATGTCTTTTGGGTCTGTTGTTTTGCCTACCGTCCACATTCTCATTCTCAAGCATTTCCAAGTGGCTTTCCATTTTCTTTACTCCAAGATGTGGCTCCAACCTCCCCTCCAGTCTTATCTTCCACTGTTCTCTTTTGTAATGTCTGCTCCAGCCAAATACTTTCAGAGCATTTCCTATTCTGTGTGCCTTTTTATGTATTTTTTCTTCTGCCTAAGGTGCCAGCTCTGTTTATTAAACTCCTGTTGGTGGTTTAAGGCTTCCCCAGCTCTTCTCTTCCTTCCTGTTTACCACTCCCCTCTATCTACTGCCAGTGAAACCACCCTTATACCAGATAGGCACAGCCACCCTCCACCAGTCAGCAAACACTGACTGTCCATTGTGTCCTGGACACTGGGGATACAGATGTGAATCAGGTGAAGTCCCTGCTAATAGTGTAGTGGGCTAAGGGAAACACTAAACAGAGGGTGATTGCAAAGTCTAGTGATGGAGCAATGCTCAGAGTATTGTGGAAGCACAGTGTGGGGTGGGGAGGTCAGTCTTTAGCAGAACTTTTAGGATCTGCCTCTCATTTGATATTCTTTCTTGGTGTTAAAACTTTTTAATACTTGTTTGTACCTCTTGAGGCACTTACCATCTTTTGCCATATATTTTATTCAACTAAATACTTGTCTTATTCTATCAAGTATTGGAGTGCCAGTGACTTAGCCATAGTCCGTCTTTATTAATAAACCTTGGGCTGAACTGATTCCATCCTTGTGTATATATGCATGTTCCCCTCTTCACCAGCTTTCCTCTAACATGAAATTGCCCACTCTTGCTTCTGTTGGTTACTGGGCAGTGTAATTGGACGAATGAGTTACACTGTGCTGAGAATTTAAACACTAGTTTTGGCTTCTGTTGCCTTTCTTTTTGGGCCAAATTTTCCATTACTTATCTGTTCATGTTTTCTTTACCATAGCTATTTACTTTTATTTTTTGATTTTTATTTTATTATTTATTTATTTTTTTTTTTGAGACCGAGTTTTGCTCTTGTTGCCCAGGCTGGAGTACAGTGGCACAATCTTGGCTCGCTGAAACCTCCACCTCCTGCCTCAGCCTCCTGAGTAGCTGAGATTACGGGTGCCTACCACCATGCCTAGCTAATTTTTATATTTTTAGTAGAGACAGGGTTTCACCACGTTGGCCAGGCTGGTCTCGAACTCCTGACTCCTGATGATCCACCCGCCTCATCCTCCCAAAGTGCTGGGATTACAGGTGTGAGCCACCCTGCCCACCCTCTTTACCATAGCTATAAAATTGTGTATAAAGCCACCCAGAAAAAAAAAATACACATTTCTTCTTAAGTTGCCCCCTGCTTGCTTTTTCCCTTCCACAGAGCTAAGTGGCAACGAGTGGCTGAGTAAGAGGGGAGACATAGAAGAGAGTGAGTAGCATAGGGACCTGATGGCCTTCCCACCTCTCACCTATTTGAGGGAGATAATTGATTATCCGGGAGTCTGCAGAGTCTGTAAGTGATGGGAAGCACAGGGAAGCCTATTGCCTAGCCAGAGAGCTTTAACTTTCATGTTATGTAAGTGAATTATTTATACTCAGGCTGAGAGCAAAATCGCTATCATATCTGCCTCTCTCCCAGGCAGAGAGTGCTCTTTCCTTGTTATGAGAACAAGCATTTTGAGCAACTGAAAAAACATGAAGACAGATAAAAGGGAACTATCGCTAAGATTGTGGTTTTCTCCCTTGGAAAAGATTCTCCTTAGGGAAGGTTTCGAAGAGATGATAGTGTCCAGACGGGCATATTGGTCTTGATGCTGTATCTTCTCTGTGCTTCTCAATCTTATCCTACTTTTAAAAGTCTTAGAAAAGAACAGAAGAATGACCTCGGCTCACCCTTCTCACCTAGACCCACCTAGCAGCTGCAGTTTGTATCCGTCCACCTTTTTTTTTTTGAGACGGAGTCTCACTCTTTTCCCCAGGCCGGAGTGCAGTGGCACAATCTCAGCTCACTGCAACCTCCACCTCCTGGGTTCAAGCGATTCTCCTGCCTCAGCCTCCTGAGTAGCTTGGATTACAGGCATGTGCCACCACACCTGACTCATTTTTTTGTTTGTTTGTTTGTTTTTTTACCGTTTCTCTGAACAGAAAACTTAGGCCATGGAAATTTCACGTACATGTCAGCAGTGTGCTGGCTCTTTGGGCGTCACCTGTATGACACTCTGCAGTATCCCATCGGTCTGATCTCCTCCAGCTGGGGCGGGACACCCATTGAAGCCTGGTCATCTCGACGGTCACTGAAAGCCTGTGGGGTCCCTAAACAAGGGTAAGACAGCATTCTCCAGTCTGAGAAAGAGCCTACCAGGGAATTATGTAAGAGAGAGGTTCATGTTTCTCTGTGGGGAGTTAAGTATATGTTGAATGTCCTAGTACGTGTTGAATGTATGTGATTTATTCAAGCACAGGGAAAGCATTATTTTCATGTCATGCCACCACAATCATTTGAGAACATGTAAAAAAATTATCTTTTTCCCTGATAATAGTAATAACTAGTAGTTACTGAAAGCTTTTTATATGGCAGACACTGTGCTAAGCACTTTATATATATTATTAATATAATGAATATATATTATATATTGATATATTGAAGTATAGATACTATTAAAGACTGTGGATGAAGACACTAAGTTTCAGAGAGATTTAGTAACTCGTTCATGGGCATGACTAGTAAGTGGCAAGTCTGGCTTCAATGTCTGTGTACCTAACCATTGTGCTGTATTGCCTAGAAAAATAAACAGGCCAACAGGAAGAACAAATGCTATAAACACGTACTCAGAGAAATGTATTGGCATACTGACTATGAACACCCACTTAGGAAAGGCTGGATCAGGAAGAATATGTGGGAGAGGAAGGGCTAGTTAATATAAATCCTGATACTAACATCAATGTAGAGATGAGCAGTATGTGACCTGCTTTCATGGACCATGTCTCATTCACACTGGGAAGGCCTGTGGGAAGAGGATGGGCTCGAGCTCTTGGTATAGTTTGGGTACAAGCTTGCCTGTGGGGGAGTGAAGATGTTCAACTTTGGAACAGGAAGAATGGCCTGCAGTAGAGTAGGAGGGAATGTTAGACCAGATCTCTGGGGATGGAAGGGATAATACTGAGGGTGTGGGGAAGTGGGCTTCTCACACGCAGCAGCTACGGGATAAATTCATATAAATAATCTACAGAGAAATTTGAGAACGTGTTCAGAGTCTTAAAAAAAGTGCCCTTTGACACAGCAGTTTCATTTCTGGGAATTTATCTTATGGATATAGTTAAGCATGTATGCAATGACTTAGCTATGAGGAAGATAATCCTGGCATTGCTTATAAAAGCAAAAAGTTTAAAACAACCTAAATGCCTGTCCATTAAATAAAGGTTTATTTAATAAAAGTTAAATAAATGTATTGCCCGTGTGAGATACTCAACAATAAAGCACTCCTTCCCTGTGACTTTAATTACCTTATCTGGAAACTGGGATGACCCACTCTGGACTCATGAAAAGCTGACTGATACACTTATTTTGGGAATAACCTGGAGGTAAAATTCAGAGACTATTCACATGTTTTCAAGTGAAAGAGTTTCAATTCAATTTTTTTTTTTTTTTTTTTTTTTTTTTTTTGAGACTGAGACTAGCTCTTTTCCCCAGGCCGGAGTACGGTGGCATGATCTCGGCCCACTGCAACCTCCACCTCCCTGGTTCGAGAGATTCTCCTGCCTCAGTCTCCTGAGTAGCTTGGATTACAGGTGTGCACCACCACACCTGGCTAAATTTTTTGTATTTTTAGTAGAGATGGGGTTTCACTATATTGGTCAGGCTGGTCTTGAACTCCTGACCTCATGATCCACCCCCTGCCTCAGCCTCCCAAAGTGCTGGGGTTACAGATGTGAGTCACTGTGCCCAGCCTCAATTCAATTTTAATTCTGTGTTGCTTTTGTCAGAAGTTTGCCACAAGTGAAAGTGGATAGATGCCCAGTTAGGGACCCTTATGTGATCAATTACTGGCTCTTTGGTCACACTTGTGCATGGTATGATTTCAGATCAGTTCCATCTGATACGGTAACTGGTCCTGCGAAGCACTCTGTTCTCTGGAATGCCATGATCCATCCACTGTGCAGTATGACTCTGAAAGGGGTGGTATGGTACCAGGGTAAGTGTTCAGTGTACTCTTTCTCCATTGTATCAGATAGTGTTTGCTGTATAACAGCACCCTAGAACTTACTGGTTTAAAGCAACAATAACTTTATAATTTTATTCAGCTCACTGTTCTGTGGGTTAGCAGGGTAGTTTTCCTGTCTGGGCTGCTTCAGCTAATTCCTGCCGGGACCTCTTATGTGTCTTTGGCCTCCTGGCAGGTTGTCTGGTGGCTGGATGACCTGGGATGGTCTCTGCCTCCCATGTGTTGTCTGGGGACTGTTATAACATGGTTCTGAGGTGGCCTCTTATCCTTCAGCAAGCCAGTGTAGACTCATTTATTATTTATATAATAGTCTCAGGGTTCCAGGGTCATCAGGAGAGGGCAGAGCCCAAACCTGAAGTGCTTTTCAAGCCTCTGCTTGTACCACATTTGCCGATGCCTCATTGGTCAGAACAAGTCACAGGGCCAGTCTAGAGAGACCATGGGAAGACTACTAATTCAGGGCATGGGTAGAGGGAGGAGAGTAATGTGTGGCCATTTGCAGTCTGCTCCAAACTCCACTTGCAATTTGGACTGTTTTTAGGGGAATCCAATATAAATTATAACATGGATCTGTACAATTGCACATTCCCTGCACTCATTGAAGACTGGCGCCAGACCTTCCACCATGGTTCCCAGGGGCAGACGGAGCAGTACTTTCCATTTGGATTTGTCCAGGTACGATGTGGGCAAAGGTTTCTCTGACCATGTTAGTACATGTTCCTGTGATGAGAAGAAGAGGCTTATGGGGATTGGTATGGGGATGTGCTATTTAGACGTTTTTCCTGAGTTCATATTCTGTTTTTTTTTTTGTCCTTATAATGTACTGATCAGGAACTGAATGTTAAGACTTACTTCATCTCAGTTCACTGATAAGACAATTAAATCTTCAAAAAATGTTGATAAGTAACTAATATTATTAAAAAAGGATTACAGTTTCATTGAGGAAATATTAAAAAGATAAGCAAAAAAGAAGCTAAAAACATTGATAATTTTACAATCCAGAAATAAGCTCATTCATTTTTGAAATAGATCTTTACCGTATTTTGCATTTTCTCTTAAAGTAGCATCTCAATTAGAGATAAGTAGTAAACGTTTTTTTCATGTCAATAAATATTAATTTTCAATGCAGTTTGTAATGATTGCAGAGTCTGAAACATGTTTATATTGTAGTTTATTTGACTAGCTCTCTATAGATGGGCATTTATGTTGTTTTACAAGTTTGCTTTAATAAGCTTTGGCATGTTTATTTTCCTTGTTGCTAAATCATTGCATATATGCTTGATTATTTCCCTAAGGTAAATTCCGAGAAATGAAATTCCTAGGTCAAAAGGTATACCTTTATAAGGCTTTGAACACGTTCCCAAATTTCTCTGTAGAAATTCATGAATTTGTATAAATTTATACTCTTAGCAAGTGTCTGTAAGAATGTCCACTTTCCCACCCCCTCCCCAACTTGATGTCCACTCCCTGGAATGCACCATGCTCCCTCACTCCCAGGCCATTGCACATACTCTCCTAGTTAACTCTAATCACCTTTAAGTTTCAGCCTACATATTATTTAGGAAGCCTCCTGTGACTATCCAGAGTCTGGGTTAGATGCTTCCTTTCTCTCTACTTCTCCTTTTTATTTGCATGAGGTTTCCTACGTGACTATATTTTCCTGGGTCACACTTATATCCCTGGTAGGTATGTATGTAGCTGGTTGGCACTCATTAAATAGCAGCTTAGCACGTGAATGAAAGAAGATAGCAAGAGAAACTATACATTTATTTTATTTACTATTATTATTATTATTATTATGCTTCTGCGGTACATGTGCAGAGCGTTCAGGTTTGTTACATAGGTATACACGTGCCATGGTGGTGTGCTGCATCCATCACCCCATCATCTACATTGGGTATTTCTCCTAATGCTATCCCTCCCCTATCCCCCAACCCCCTGCTATCCCTCCCCTAGCCCCTCACCCTCCGACAGGCCCTGCTGTGTGATGTTCCCTTCCCTGTGTCCATCTGAAACCATACATTTAATTAGAGATAACTAGTCAGAAAGATTCTGCTTTCAGCCTTGCATAAAAGGAATAAACATTTGACCAAGTTCATAATTGCCTAGCCTCCATCTGTTCACATGACCTACACTTTTTAGCAGGGTGGTAGTTCAGGTTTTTCTAGAACATAGGAAATCAAGTAAGGTGATATAAAAACAATGCCTATCTTACAACATGACAAGAGAGGCTTTACTGTGTAAATGGGACATACGTATTTGCAGAGACCTGCCTCCGCATGCCCCACAGATGCCTTCTTCTTACCATCATCCCATCTCCTCTACCTTGTCCTATTTCACGGCACCTTTTTTTTTTAAAATTTGTATAGACCTTCTTTTCACTTAAAATGTCTTTATGATTATTTTCTTCTTTCCTGCATTTGTTTTGACTTTGAAATAAGATGATTATTCTCATTATTTTCAAAGTAGCAGCTCCTGTCACCAGTTCTGCATCACTGTTCGTGGAAACTACACTTGGGCTTTGGAAGTTCTTTTTTCCTCTCTTGGCCTGTGCACATGGTGATTGGAATATGACTTTAGTCAACTCACATCAAAAGTATGTGTTGAATGCTTATTATATGCTGTGAATCTCGTGAGGTGCTAGAAATATAGCAACGGAGAGACCTGGTCCTTGTACTTATGCCTTACAGTTTAGTGGACGTCCTTTAAGCTCCAGGCGTTAACTTTCTTATCACCAGCACAGACATTCTGGTTACTTGTGGGAGACTGGAAATACAAACATATCCCTCCAAAGGGAAATACCCAACATGACAACATAATGGTCCAGACTGAATCGGAGCGAGACTAACTGCATTCAAATGCTAGCTCTGACACTTCTTGAGCTATGTGATTTTGAACATGATATTGGACCTCTTTGTTATTTTAAATATTGAATGAGTTAATCCATGTAAATCCCAGAACATGCCAGATAATGTTAGTGTTGAATATTATTGATGAGAGAAATCAGAAAATCTGGAGGGATAGTTGGTCTGTAAGGAAAGAGGAACTGGCTTCATAGAAGTGCTGAGTTTGAAATGATGGTTACAGTGACTAGAGTACAGCTAGAGACGGAGGAATGAGCTCCGTGGAGAGACCAGGGCTAGACACGTGTATCTGAGTTATTATTAGAGCGACCACCTGGAGCCTGGGAGAGAAGGAGCAGGAGGCTAGGGGCTGGAGTCCCAAGGAGTGTGCTTTTTAAAAAGGGATTTGGAAACAGTTGAACAGACCACAAACTGCAGCATGTTATTTGTGAAATCCTCTGAGCATGGCCAGCTTTATATTCTTTGGCTGGTCTATGCCTTTATTAGCCGCAGTATTTCTACCAGCCACTGTGGGAGAGGGATTAGCGCCCCACTCTATCTCAGATTAGGAAAACAGGAATTTCATTTGGGTGTGGAGTACGCTGATGCCTCCATGTGGCGAGTATATAGTAGTGTAGTTAATGAAACAGAGCAAATTGCTGCAAGGATTCTCAGCAAACTGCCATTTTGAGAAAATTCCTTTGGCTTGAGAAGCTGTTATTAGCTTGCTCCCTGTTGAGCTTCAGGCTGGTTTTTACCAGAGGCTCTTTCCCATGGCTTTGTTGCTGTGATCTTCATTATGAGCGTGGCTGGTGCACATGGTTCTACTTTGTCTTCTGGGTGTTGTGTGGAAGAAGTAGGGTGACTTACTAGATCTTTTTATTTCCATCTTCTAGTCTTCATGAGATTCCACTGTGAAGCTCCAGAAGCATCTTTTTGCATTTCCTATGTTAAAGCTGATTTGCCTAAGAGAATTTTAATAAGAGAATTGGAAATATCCTATGAGTTCCATATCATATCCAAGGCTCCTTTCTGTTACTATTGCAACCTTGCTGTGTTCTCCTGATGATTTTCTCATCTTTCTGGAGCAACTCAGAGAGCAGAAAATATCCTTGATTCAAAGTTGCATTTGGCCACATTTCTAGGGATGATGTCAGGTATTTTCTGGGCTGTGTGAGTAACAGGCTGGTGGAACAGTCTGTGTAAAATGCAGTCCTTTGAGGGGGTCAGACATTTTGAAACGGAGTCAAAAAACTGTTGTTGCTGGCCCAGACTGCTTCCCAGTTTGTGGTTTGACTTACAGTAAGATCATCGCTTGTAAAAGAGAGATAACAGGTTGATGCCTCTCATTGGCTGGAACTGGGGCTAAGAATAAAATGCTATCTAAATCAAAGGACAGGGTGATGTAAACATCAGAAAAGGAAGGAAGGAAGAAATAGCTGGACTGCATGTATCATAGTAATAGTAAAGAATTTTTTCTGGGAGCCTCTGTGTTTTGCAGGAGTAGGAGTATATCAACTTTCCGTTTAGATGAAAACAAATCCTGTTAACTCACTCTGCATTCAGAATCTGACCACTTCTCACTACCTTTACCCCTCCTACGCTAGTCTATGCCACCATCATCTCTCCCTTGAATTATTGCCTCCTAACTGGACTTCTTCCTGCTTCTACCTTTTCTTCTCCCTCTTTAGGATATTCTCAGTATATCAAAGTGATCCTTTGAAGCGTAAGTCACATCGGAAGGCTCCAGTGGGCCCTCGTGTGCTGAGGTCAACAAGGCCATACATGATGTGGCCCCTGCCTGCCTTACCCGCCGACCTCACCTCCTAATTCTCTCTGCCTTGCAGACGCTGCTCCAGCCACACTGGCTGCCCTACTTTTCTTTAAGCGCGGTAGGCATACTCCCCTCCTAGGGCCTGCTATTTTCTTTTCCATTCTGCCTGGGAAGTTCTTTTTCTGTTTTAGTTTTCTGTTGCTGAGTAAGAAATGAATGCATAGTTAGCAACTTAAAAAGAGGAGAGTATTGTATAAGAATGTGGGTCACTGTGGGTCATCTGCCTAACATACGCAGATATCCTCATAGCTTCTTCATACATCTCCTTCTAGTCTTTATTCAACTCTGACACTCTCTCCTCTTCCCCCGTTATATTTTCCTCCAGCACACTTACCACTTTCTCATAGGATATGTAGTTTACAGATCTATTTTGTTATTGGTTATCTCTCCCCACTAGAATATAAAAATGGGAAGGAATTTTTGTGTTTTGTTCACTATCTCCTATGCCAATATTAGTGCATGACACAGACTTGATGTTCAGTAAATATTTGTTAAAAGCATGAATAAATAAATGAGCGGACTGATATTACATGAGCTGTGGATCCTTCACAGGTTCCTTCTGGAACAATATTATTCCTCAAATATTCTGGTGCTACTTGGATGCCTGAGACGCCGTACAGTTAATTCAGATGCCGTGGCTTCTGAATGATGGATTTTAGCCTTTCTCTTCTTGTCCCATATCCAGCTGGTTGCCCGGTTCTGCCGGTTGGTCTTATGTCTCATCATCTCATTCCACTACTATCTTTGTAGATGAGACCTTTGTTGTTTTGTGTCTAGAACATAATAATAGCTACTTAACTAATCAGTCTCTGTGCGTTAAGTCCTTTATTGTTATGAATTTTCTTGCCACAGCCGTTTGTATGATTGTTAGAGCAATCTTTTGAAATGGTCCTTTGATCATGTCAATAATTTCAGTGGCTCTGTTAATAACTTAATTGAGTTGAAATTCATGTAACGTACAATTGACCACTTAAAAGTGCTCAGTTCAGTTCAGTTGAGTTCAGAAGCATTTTAGCACATTCACCATGTTGTGCAGCTATCACCTCTACAGTTCTTTATTGCTTAATACAAAAGTATCAACTATACAAACACTTGCCTTACTGTCTTTCCAAGTTTGCCTTTCCTTCACAAATCCCCCAGTCCAGCTGGATTGCCCTTCTCTCAGAACGACCATTCTCTTTCCCACCTTTGCATCTTACATGGTCCTAACATGTGAAGTGGGAGCAGTACTGCCGGTAGTGATTTCTCATATTTTTGGTGCCCATTTAATTTTTTTTATGAATTCTAAGGCCACGTTTTCCTATAATAATATTTGCCTGTTCTAAATGTTTAGTACTTGCCATCTGTGCCACTGATTTAGCATTTAATCCATACTATTTTATAGGTTTATGAACCATAAACTCATTAAACTCTTATGTTTATTTCTTATGTGTAGGTCTGTCTGCAACAAAGCTGTAAAGTACTTGTACCAGTTAGCTACTGCTCTGTAACAAACTACCTCAAAACCCCCTGGCCTAAAGTAGCCTTTCTTATATAGGTAGCCCTTGTCTAGGGAGCCGGGGTTTGGGGGGATTTGGCTAAGCTGCAGATCTTTGGGCTCTCTCAGACCTCTGTGGGTCAGTGGGGAAGCTCTGCTCCAGTCTGGGCTGCTGGAGTGGATTAGACACAGCAGCTCTATTCCATATCTCTTGTCTTTCTCCAGGGAGCATCAGGCTAGCCCAGGTTAGCTTCGTCCTTCTTGTGGCGATAGCAGCAGTGCAAATGAGCAAGTGAAGCCATGTGGGGTCTCTTGAGGCCTAGGCTAGGAAGTGACACATCATCATTTCTGCTTCTGTCTATTGGTCAAAGCAAACCACATGGCTGAGCTGAGAATCAAGTGGTTGGGAAACATACTTGTCTTGATAGCAGGGGGAACTGCAAAGCCACATGGCAAGAGGGTGTGGATATAGGAAGGAGTGAAGAATTGGGGTCTCCAATGCAATTTGGCACATGCTCAAGGGCAAATTCTTCTCTGCTTCCCCACAGTGCCTAGCGTATTGTATACAGATGTATCAGTTATCTATTGCTTTGTAACAAGCTACCCCAAAACTTAGTGGCTGAAACCATCAGCCATAGTTTTTGCTCATGAGTCCTTGGGTTGAGCATGTAGGGCTCACCTGGGATAGCTCATCTCTGCCTTACATGATGCCAGCTGGGCTTGCTTATGTGGCTGCAATTTGAACTGGAGGATCTAGAAATCCACATGACTGGTCTCTTATCTGGGATTCCTGGAACACTAGAGCCTCTCTTTCTAAGGACCCTCTCTTTGCATAATCTCTCCAGCAGTAGCTGGGCAGCATGACCAGCTCAGGGTTTAAAGAGAATGAAATCAGAAGTCAAGGCGTCATAAGGCCAAGACTCAGTAACTGTATAACATCATTTCTCTTGTATTCTGTGGGTCGGAACAAATCCCAGATTCAAAGAGAAGAGAAACAGACCCCGCTGCTTGATGAGAGGTGTGGCAAAGTTGCATTCCAAGAGGGCACATGGGATTAGAGGGACTGCTGCAGCTGTCTTTGGAAAGACACTGCCACAGCGATAAGAAGCTTAGTAAATACTTGTTGAATGAGCATTTGAACGCAATGAGAGAAGCAGAAGCAGAGTCCGCCAGTGAAACAACTCCAGTGTGCGAATCAGATGCAATAAAATGAACAATGTCTCTGCTTTCTAGTTATCTTCATATTTGTCTAAGATACGCTCAGATGGTTTTCCCCAGATCCGTTGGCATCAAACAGCAGACTTCGGCTATGTCCCCAACCTAAAGATGCCCAATACTTTCATGGCCGTAGCTATGGATCTCTGTGATAGAGAGTCGCCTTTTGGCAGGTATGATTGCTTCTTGGGCTTTGCATGAACAGTGTATGTACTTTGTAGTCTTTCACTGATGTTCACCTGTGAGGGGCAAATTAGACTGAGGATTGGCACTTAGAATCACGTTTGCTGGGATGTGCCGCAGTAACAACAACAAACACCCTCAACATCTCAGTTCTTTGATGCAACAAAAATTTATTTCTTGCTCACACTCTACGTTAAAAGAAGGTCAACAGAGACTTTGCTCACTGTAATCATTCATAGACCCAGAGCAATAGAGGCGGCAAGTTGACCTGTGCTTCCACAGTCATCTTAAAGTCTCATCCTGGCAATTCAGTGCTTCCACACAAGTCATTTCTGCTCACATTGCACTGGCCAAACCAAGTCACAAGGCCACGGTTAACTTCATTGACAGCAGGAAATGGGATTCCAGCATTCCTCTAGCCTCAGAGGAGGAATACTGGAATACCTGTGATCAGCCCCCGTGAATAGCACACACTAACTGTAGGATGTGAGAGGAGTCCAACATACAACGTCTGGATTGTAGGAGTAACTTGACTGATTTATTGAATAAATGAATAAAAGCTCTAGGGGACCAAATAATGAACAGATGTTTCAGAAGAAACCTTTTAGTGGTTCAGAACAGTCTTATGAGTTAGCTCTCCTAGGTTAGTTCCAGTATCTTTCCTTCCTCTGTCTCCCTCCCTCCTCCCATCCCTCTTTTTATTCCTTCCTTCCAAGCCATCTATTGTTTCAAGGTTTCCAACCCATAGAAGACCCAGAGCCCCATCTATGGTTACCATTCACCATTTCTCTTAAGCTGACTAGCCACTGATCAGGGAGGTCAGTCAACTTCATTCTTACTTTCATAAAGGGTGCTTGGTATAATAACCCTTTAAAAAAAATATGTGGTTATTGTTGAGCTTAAACCCAAAGTTCTCTACTTTTTCCTTATCCTGTAGCATCCACCCTCGAGATAAACAGACTGTGGCCTATCGGCTGCACTTGGGAGCCCGGGCTGTGGCTTATGGTGAGAAGAATTTGACCTTTCAAGGACCACTGCCTGAGAAGATAGAACGCTTGGCTCACAAGGGGCTGCTCAATGTCACATATTACCAGGAAATCCAGGTGCAGAAAAGGGACAACAAGATATTTGAGGTGAGAACAACAGAAAAAACAGGGGTTCATCTTGTGGTGGAGTCAGGATTTCCTCCATGCTGAGGCCATCTCTTTCATTATAACATTACGATGTGGCGGGTCTTGGTTGGTTGGGGGCTGAGCTCATCTCAGAGACACACATAAACAGCTGTTAATTCATTAGATTAGAGGCAGTTTTGATAGAACAATCAAGGAAGGGAAGACAAGTCCATATTAAAATAGACTTTAAAAATTTGAAATTTCCTTTCAAATTTTTTCTCCCAGAGCAACTATCGTTGCTCAGGGCTGGACCTACAGCTTTATTGGTAGGTTACCTACTGAAAGATCCTTGCTCCAGAATATTTACCTCATCCTCAGGTGTATTTTTTTGTTATACTATCCTAAATTCTGACATTCTCTGAGTTTAGGTTCTCCTTTGAGAGGCTTATTCTTAGTGATTTGTAACTTCGTGTGATTTAATATAATGAGACTCCTTTTAATACCTAGCAGGGGTCATTCTGCTGTAGAATTGTGGCCGCTGATGAAGGAGGTTATTCAGGAGTCTTCTATAGTTGAGGGTGGGGCGTGGAGGCATTCCTACATGGAATATTTAAATGAGTGACTTTGGGAATCATGAGGTCTTAGGCTGGAAAGGGGTGTGCGAAAAGAATGCATTGGAGGAGAGAAAAGAACATTAAAGGCAAACTTTAACTACACAGGAGTTTAGGGCTGTTGTTTCTGGAATTCTAACTACAGTATCCACCTGCCTCAGATGCTTGGTTGGCACTTATCCCACTTAGCTTCTTTCCACACTGGGTTCTAGGTGAATTTAGAGAAGTCTGCATTCTGAGCTCTCCTCTTTAGTCAGTTGCTGGTGGTCTGCCCATCATCTGGTCCAGGACAGAATTTAACCTTTGGGTTCTAGATAATTTGTATTCCCTCTTCCAGATTGCCTTCTGGCTTGAGAAAGTCTTTGTATCTAGAGTTCCTTTGTGCCCCTTCTTCATTCTGCAGCTCCTTGGGAGTACCAGAGAGAAACAGCAGCAGCTGAGCCACGCTGTTAACTTAAATTCCCACCTGCCTTGCTGTTTAGCAGGAGGGATCACCCAAGGAATGTTCAGGCGAGCCCTTCCCTAAATGCCTCATGTGATCATGCTTCCTTGTCTTCCTCAGCAAATGTTTTATTTATTATTTATTTAACCACATGGAAATCTATTATCAACCTGTGACTGCTGACTAAATCCAAAGTGGACTCAGGTTTGTTCTGGTTACTGTAGGAATACGTCCTTGGTGAAGAGTGGCTCCTTCCTCCCATCCGTTGTCTGAAAGAGCAGCACCTGGTTTCTTAGAACACCCTTCTGAGCATTCTTTAGGTCACCCTTCTAATCATTCCTATTTTATGGCTCTCTTGTTAGATCTCCTGCTGCAGTGACCATCAATGCAAGTGGCTTCCAGCTTCCATGAACACCTTCTCCACCCAGACCCTGACCCTGACAATCAATTCTTGTCATGGCACTGTGGTTGCTCTCCGCTATGCCTGGACCACATGGCCTTGTGAATATAAGCAGTGTCCCCTGTATCACCCCAGCAGTGCCCTGCCAGCCCCTCCCTTCATTGCGTTCATCACAGACTAGGTTCCTGGTCATCAGAGCAATGTTGCCAAATGACCGTTTCAATATAATCAGAGCTTAGCTATAAGGATGGGCTCTTTAGATTTTAGCATTTAGGAGTTTCATTAATAACTGTTGCTTTTAAAGGAAATTAATAGAAAGCCTCATTGAATGGCTTCCAGCTAGCACATGGCTGTTTCTATATTCTGATGAGCCCAGGCTGGTAGGTAACTTGAAATGCTTGCTTTTAGTCCCTTAGTCTAAGGTCTGTTTTGGACAAATTCTGAACTACGGACAAATTGGACCTCAATGTCATTCACTTCCCTCATATTAATGGGAGTGAAATGTCTAATACTTTTGTCCCCTTTTATCCAGAGTTGTGGGATGTTAGGATTGGAAGAGATGTTAAAGGCCCCATAGGCCAGCTAGTGTTCACATGTTCTTTACAAAATTTCTGACAGGTGGTTACTGAATCTCTGTATGAACTTTCCATTCAAAACTTTCCAAGTTTTTCCTTATGTGGAACTGAAGTCTTTCTCCTGTGAAACTTTATTACTATCAGAGTCTTTCAGATAATTTAAGACAGATCTATTTGTATTCTCTTCAAGCCAAAACCAGTTCTCTTCCTTCAATCTAAATAATGAAATATGAATGTTTAAGAAATAAGAAACACATGCAGGGACTTTGGGAGGTGCTAAGGGACTGCCCTAGGGAATGAAAAGCAAGGGCCAGGTGGTAGTAACCCAGGGAAGGCACTTGGGCTGCCATAAACAGGAGAGCTGAGAAACTCTGGTTTATGAAAACATGAACACAGGGGCAACAGAGGCAAATGTGTCATTCAAGTTAAATATAAATCTCAGACTCTTTAAAGGTAAAAGGTTTAAGGATAATCCATCTGGGAGAAAAGCGTGAGGCTGAAAGTAAAGCCGCATAACAAGCATGTAAAAAAATAATGCAGATGATACAAATGTGAAAGAGGCCTTTTGTGTTTATTATTAATAATCTTAATGCAGTTTATTGATGGATTAAAAACAGCTAACGGTACTTGAAAATTATATTACCTATTAGAAGTTAGAAATAAAAGAATGATCACTAGTGATGTGTATATATTTATATCCAGCCAAAACTTGCTAATTGTCCTTGAAACATGTGAAAAGAAATAAGAATGCTATCTATGGGTAGCTTTCCTCCGCTTAATGTGAAAAATGAGAACTAAAGCAAAAAGTATCATTCACTCTACATATTTAATGTATTTTACACAGTGTAAAAAATACGGTTTAGGTAGTGAATGTATTAAGGAAGTCATATGTAAATTTATTTTTAGTGGCTGAATAATTTAAAACCTTATGTAGGAATTCACTAAATTTCCCCCAATTTAGGAACTTTTTACTATTTGAAAAGGAAATTTATAATCACTTTGTAGAGTGAGTGATGGTTTTTGCTTTAGTTCTACCCCTTTGTAGAGTTCCAAGGGGTTCTGGTATAGCTCCAAACAGCAGGCATAGCTTTTGTCAGTGCCAAGATTTTATTTAGTTAAGAAACAAAAAATCTTTACAAGGAACTTTGGCTCCCCTGAGGACTTCCTAGCATTCAATTCATTCAATTAACTCCTATTGCGCATGCTTTGACCTCTCATGTATCTGGTCCCATAGAAACCATGAACCTCGTAACAGATTGATGCCTATGAAAACGTCAATTTGCCTGTCCATTCTTCCACCCCAATACACATACCCCCATGGGCTGTTCTAATTTGGAGGCAGCTAGAGGTAGCCAAGAACTCCAGGTTTCTTTCACCTGCAGGAACTTAGAATACATACTGTGAAAAACTTGGTTTAGGTATTGAATATGTTAATGAAGTCATGTACATTTATTTTTAGTGGCTGAATAATTTAAAACATTATGTGGGAATTCACTGTATTTCCCCAAATATAAGAACTTTTTAGTTTTAAAATGGAATTTACAATCACTGTAGAAAATTTGGACATTAAAGTATAAGCAAGTAAAAATCACCCCGAAATTCATCATTCAGAGAAACAGTATTTTGCCGAACCATTCGAGTTACATAATTTTATATACTACATATTATTTTGTAATCTGTGTTTTTGACTTACTTTACCAAAATAATTTTCTTATGTAAACAGAATATAGATTTAGAGTGTTTCAATTTGGGGAAGCCTCATACTTTAACCAATTTCCTATTAATGGACATATAGATTTTTAACAATTTCTACTGTTAAAATAATACTATAATGAATATCACATGCAATCATCATACCACACTTGTCCAATTATTTCTTAGGGTCCTTAACGTTGAATGGAATGAATATGTATTTAAAATTTTGATATCTACAGTTTAACCCTCCCAAAGGATTAAACAACTTACATTCTCACCAAGGTAGTCCTTTTTTTCCTTCACCATCATTGACACTGGATGTTGTTAAATTGAAAAAAATCATTGGCTGGGCACGGTGGCTCATGCCTGTATTCCCAGCACTTTGGGAGGCCAAGGTGGCTGTATCATGAGGTCGGGAGATCAAGACCATCCTGACCAACACAGTGAAACCCCGTCTCTACTAAAAATACAAAAATTAGCTGGGCATGGTAGTACGTGCCTATAATCGCAGTTACTTGGGAGGCTGAGGCAGAGAATAGCTTGAACCAGGGAGTCAGAGTTTGCAGTGAGCTGAGATCGTGCCACTGCACTCCAGCCTGGTGACAGAATGAGACTCTGTCTCTAAATAAATAAATAAATAAAATGAAATAATCTGATAGATGAAAAGGTAGTTTAAGTATATTATGGTAGTGTTTTTCAGGTTTCTCAAATCAATCCATAGTAAAAACATTTTACACATATATCCATACAAGTATATGTGGTATACATATACATTATAGTTGCATATGCACTGTAGTTGAAAAAAGTTTCAACGTTTCTTTATGTGATACGTTCCAAAAAATTTGAATGTCTTTCTAAAATGAGGCTCTTTTAGTATGGGTATTACTCAGGCTGTAATAGTGAGAAAATATTTGTTATATGAAAAAAGCATCTATCACTTCTGTGTTAAGTGCCAGTATTCTCAATTTATGCAGAGAAAAAAAGAAAAACAATACATTAATATTTTAAGCAATCCCCTTCCCACCCGATTTGCGATTATACAAAATATATTAGTTTCTTTTACATTGTAAAATGTATACAACTTATAAGAAGACTATACTCAAAATCATAAAATACTAGTTAACTTAGCTTCTGAGTTTACAGTGGCCAGTGTGGTGTGCTCTAAATGCTGCTGTCTGATCCCTCCCTCCGCTGGTCAGATTTATTACTATAAAAATACCACTCCCATTTGTTTTTTTCCTCAATTGGCAATTATAAATGGTAGTGCATTAACCATTCAGTTCTCACCACTCCTTCCCTATTCTTCTACCTCTGGGTCCTTTTGTTCCTCCCTTTCCAGATAGCCCTTGGTAACCTGGTGATGAGTAGTAGCTAAGGCATCCCACAAGTAGTGATGAGTTGTTAGGTGACAAAGGGAACCTCTATCTTAATGCTATTAACAGGGTCCAAAAATCCCATTGCATGGAACACGGAGTTATATTATTACATGGCTAATGAAAAGACAGGACTAAGTCTGTTATAGAGGATGGGACTAACCCCTAATTATGTTATATATGAATTTGTATTATTATATGGTTTCAATGTATTGAGCTAAAAAGCATTCTCTGAGGTGTGAAACAAAGGCTTAAAGCTCCCCTTGAAGGATGTGCAAAATGTGAAGAAAAAGATGAACAGTGTACCTTGGACTAGACTTTCCATCTTGAGTTAAAGCAGATTTGACTTTGATGATACATGAAAATAACGCAGCAGCCTGGGTTGCAGGGCCTGAGACTTGATATTCCTTGAATTAGGATCAGAATCAAGAGTAGAAGTTTATCAGAATCTCTCCATCTCCCTCATTAGTCAGCGGCTGCTACAGACTGTGTTTTTATCTCCCCACAATTCATAAGTTAAATTCTAACCCCTAGTGTGGTGGTATTGGGAGGTGGGGACTTTGGAAGGGCAGACATCTCATGAACGGGCTTAATGTTCTTATGAAAGGGACCCTGAGGCTGGGTGCGGTGGCTCACGCCTGTAATCACAGTACTTTGGGAGGCCAAGGTGGGCAGATCACGAGGTCAGATCAAGACCAGCCTGGCCAACATGGTGAAACCCCGTCTCTACTAAAAATACAAAAAAATTAGCCAGGCGTGGTGGCACATGCCTGTAATCCCAGCTACTTGGGAAGCTGAGGCAGGAGAACTGCTTGAACCTGGGAGGTAGAGGTTGCAGTAAGCCAAGATCACACCATTGCACTCCAGCCTGGAAGACAGAGCAAGACCCTGTCTCAAAAAAAAAAAGTGACCCCGGAGAGCTACCTTCCCCTTCCACCATGTGAGGACACAGAGACTAAGAATTAGGAAGTTCTAAGACTAAGAACTAGTCTAAGAACTAGGAAGTAGGCTCTCACCAGACCCTGAATTTGCCGGCACCTTGAACTTGGACTTCTCAGCATTCAGAACTGTAAGAAGTAAATTTATTTTATAAACCACCCAGTCTATGGTATTTGTTGTAGCAGTCTGAATAGACTAAGATAGCAGCTCTCTATCACTCTTGTTTATAAGGGGTTGAAGTTTACTCTACCTCAGGCAGAGCTAAGCAAAAAAGATTCTATCCTGATTACAACAAGATGAAAATAAACAGAATTGACAAGATAAATTTATTACTAAAAATAAAGCAGCTGAAGTTTTTCCCAGGGAAAACCATCACCACAGGATCCATGATGAAATATGTTAGTATCTTCTTTGCTTCTGAATTGCTGCTTTCTTCCATATATCTGAAATCTTAAAGTTAAATTAATCATGATGAAAATGATGTGGCATCCGATCCCTTCCTGTTCAATCTGAAGACTGAATTGGGTTACACTGTGATGGAGACGTCAAGTGCTGCAGGTGAGTATCTACCAAGGGTTCATGTGTCAGGAACACAGGCTGGTAAGAAGACGCAAAGGCTGCAGGCTGAAGCTCCGGGAGGTCCAGGGATCCTGGAGAAAACAATTCCTTAAGTTCCACTGCTACTTGGGAGTCTCAGGAGACTGTTTTGGTCAGACATGTACATGTCCTTTCAATCAATTCCTCAACACCCTTGCATCTGTCAGCTCAATTTTGCCTTTGTTAGGATAGGAAAGATACTTTGACAATGAAAACTGAAACACATTAAGTGGGTTATAGAGTGTATTAGGCAAAGAGTGAGGATTTCAATTCCATTTTTTAGCCCAGAGTTTTCCCTATATGACCCCAAAGCCTGAACCCCTGATCACTCATTTGTGGGAGGAATTCATGGAACACAGGCAGGGCCAAGGCTTTGACTTTACTTGAATGTTATTCCCTGAACAGTAAACCTTCCCCTGGTGTTCTGCTCTGGTCTTGTTAGGTTACAGAATGAGATACCTTAGTTTCTGGGGCACCCTGCCTTACTATAATCGCAGGTGCTCCCTGTGACATCTGTGAGTAACCTAGGAAGCTATGCAGGCCACAGGTTCCCCTCTGACGCAGCACTCTGCAAGGCTGATTCAGTGAAAGCTTTTTATCACTCAATGCCTAGATATTTAGGGTAACTCAGTTATGTGTGAAGATGGGAAGGTAGCCTAAACACAGTCAATTCTCAAACCAGAAGGGTAAAGTTAAAGATACCTGGCAGAAGGGGATCATTCTGATCTTCATTAAAGGTGTGTCTCTGAAAGGCTTCAAAGCTCATAGCTGCATCATTCTCTGGCAGCCCCTCGGGTAGCTGCCCATCTCCAGGTTTGCACACATCAAATTTCACCCACTGGTAACTGTGGAGTCAAAGGAAATCACTCTTGAGAGTTATCTGCTAGCCATAAATACCCATTCCTACCTCCAAAGGATCAGGTATTTTTTCTTTATATTCCTCCCATATATATCTAAAACACATATTAGCTAACAAAAATCTAAAAGCAGGCCTCTTTAGTGACAAATTATTCCGCTAGATTTCCCACCTCTTTTGCGGTCATGGTATACACAGAAAATAGTAATAATCAAGA